TGTTGGTCCCATGGCTGCTGGGCTCCCTGCTGTTGATGTGGTGCCCCCAGTTGCAGTTGGCCCCTTCCTGCCTGCCAATCCCATGGTTGGTGGGCTCTCTGCTGCTGGGCAGTGGAGGCTGGTAGTGCCCCCTGCTGCTGCAGGCCTCCCAATGGTGACTGTGCAAGTGGGGTTTGTAGTGGTGTATTCTGCTGTTGTAGGCCCCTCAATGATTGCTGGACATGCTGGGCCTCCCCCATCTGCAAGCTGACCAGCTGTAGTTCTGGCTGTTGCATCACTTCAAGCTGCCGTAAGGCTTCTATTAGCTGTGGTAAGCTCAGTTGCTGGTGATTAAGCCACACTGCCCATTGCTGGAAAGGCCTCAATTTGGGATTCCCTCCGTCTTCAGGACTGTGACTCACCATTTTTCTTGGCAAGGCTGTGTGGCTTCCTCCAGAGCCTTCGCACAGCTTATCGCAGTCTGGCCTCGCTCCCAGCTGGGAATTCTGCCAGATTCCTCTTTCCCCCAGCTTGCCGGCTGTCGCTTTCCCCCCCCCCCCCCCAGGGAAACTGCAGCAGCCAGGAGGAGGCTGGTCTCAGACAATTTCTTCTCCTTCATGTCAAAACTTCCCCGAATCTTTACCAGTACCTCTCAAACTTCGAGGCAGTGGATGGGGTTCGGGACCCCAGATTTTTTTAGAATGAGATTGGACCTAAGCATGATGTCATGTGTCTGATTAACGAAACACTTAAAAGGACTTTCAGGCATATTTTCTCCTAAAAGCATTTATTAAGGTTACAGAGATGTCAGTACAGAATGGAGGAAATGCTTAGGTCTGCTTCTTTTCTGTTACGCAAATACATTCCAAGCATTTCCCACTCCCTTATTGTAGGGTCATGGTTCACATCTTCCAATCAACTTGGAAGATGTGATTTACTTCCGGTTTCTTTCTCCCGGGCTATCCTTATGCTCCTCCCTCTTTCCCAGTTGTTGGTTTAACTATATAAATACCAGACAGTTCTGCACATTGTCAAAGCAAGAATATACAGTATTTACAGCATTGACACAGTGTTCATTTGAATACCAGCCAATCCACAGGTGACAAAGTGTTTTGGTAACTGGGTTTGCATTCTTTCAAGGTCTTTCTCACTTTCATTTCCTTCTGGCTCCAAGCACAACCATCTCTCAGATAAGGATGATACATTCCATCCGCTGGGGGAAGGGCACAATAGCAAGACAGTGCAAAGCATCCCCAAGGCTTCTCCCCTCCCAACAGAATGGCAGACCACAATGAAAAGGTACAGGTTCAGGAATAAGCATAGGGAAACAATGATTTTCTTTGGGGACCTAACATAGTCTTTAAATATGATACAAGAATTGCTTAGGTCTTCTTCTATATCTCTGTGTTAAGTAATTATTCATAAGCTCCATGTATAGGCTAAAATATACTTAACTGCTTATAACAATTTCATTCAGTGCTGATCTATGTTTATCGGGTGGAAAAAAGTTTTTTTCATTTCTATTTTTAATTCCTTTTCTTCTAGTATTGTTCTATGGAACAAACTTCTACAAGTACAGATGCAGAGTATGTACAACAATTCTACGATCTTCTCACTGCCTCCATTGATATATCTAGAGACTGGGCAGAAAAAATCCCAGGATTTACTGATCTCCCTAAAGAAGATCAAACTTTACTCATAGAATCAGCTTTTTTGGAACTTTTTATATTGCGGCTATCTATGAGGTACATCTGAGACTCAATAGTGGAAAACTCATTATTGTATAATCTGCTTGAATAAAACATTAAAATGAAATATTTGTTTCATGGATTGATAACTTAGAACCCAGCTTGTTTATATAGATAAGCTGCTGTTTTTCCTCTTGTTAGGATGGTTTTGTGGGATATTTAAGGAAGTAGGAGTGGATGAAGCAGAATTCTGGAATAGTAATCAAACACCTTATTGGGCTAGTTTACACACACAGTAGATTATATAGTAAAACTAATAATCAAATCTTTCCTTCATCTTTCATTGAGATGAGAACATTCACTGGAACCATTAATTGCCTTGTATAACTTATGCTGAAACCTGGCTATAGGTAGTATGATTCTGCTAATTCTCTTAAATGTTTTGGAAGTTTTAAAAACAACTTTAAATAGTAATAACTATTCTTTTAATAGTTGTACTATTGCTTTAAAAAGTCAGTAGTACTATTGATATTAGAACTCTGAATAAGATCTGTATAAGCTTGCAATTCCCCAGAAAGAACAAAATGGAGCTTCTCTACCCACAGTGCTTCTGGATTTCCAAATGGTACGTTGGAGCCTTTGAATGATTATGTTTAGTATGCCAGTTGCAACAGTTCCTGAAGTGGTTGGATGTGACAATAACTTCCTGATGCCATGGTTACATCCCAATTTGATCAAAGAAATGATGCTATCCTAGAAAAATATTTCAATGGTTAAATGAGTATCAAATGTACCATTAAAGCTGCTAAATGGTACGGAATACTAAAAAAAAACAAACCAGTGTTGAAAAACCTGCACTGATTTTTTATCATTTTCTGGATACAATTTAAGATACTGTTTTTAATATTTAAAATAGCTTGGCAATCTAAGAAGCTATAATATCTATCTCAATATGAACCTATTTGGACATTTAGGAAACATATTGTGACCTTTGGGCATATTGATTCATTGGGCATATGAGAAAGAGTTTTCTTTCTCTTTAGGCTTTCACGATAGTCAAAGCCTTCCTCTTCACCATGTCTTTGGAATTTAAATTTTAATTGCTTTTATTAGATTCTCTGTTTTCCATTCTTAGTCACTTTGAATACCCTTGGGTAGAAAAACAGGAATAATATTTAGTTCACTCACTGACTGATTGACTGACTGACTAATCATCTGGATATTATTGTTGGTGTTATTAATGGTATTACATTATTATAACATGCTAAGTATTTTGTTGTAAGGATTTGATTTCATGGAAGAGCATTAAAACATGTGTCTTACCTATCTGAAATGATACCATCCAGGAATATATTTGTAATTATCTACATAAGTGATGGCTGAAGTTTCAAGTCCATCTAAATTCATCTTCCTATTGACTGCATTTTCTTTTATCTCCAATCAGCTACCTCTGTTCATCCACCAGCATAGGTAGAAGATCACTCAGAATTTTCCCCTAAATAGCTACAATTATATTCATGTGGGTATGAGATCAGCTTGCTTTAATGCCCCAAATATAACATATTTCAAAATAAAAAATATGTATGGATCTATTGGTGGTATTTAGCTAATGTGCATTATGCAGCACATTATACTGAAAAGTTAGCAGTATTCATAGTGTATGTCTTCTTTTTTATCATTGAAGATCTGACATTAGTGAAGACAAGCTTATTTTCTGCAAAGGGCTTGTACTTCATCGACTTCAGTGCCTTCGTGGATTTGGGGAGTGGCTTGATTCAGTTAAAGATTTTTCTTTAAATTTACAAAGCCTCAACCTTGACATCCCAGCCTTAGCATGTTTGTCAGCTCTAAGTATGATTACAGGTTAGTATTCTTTTGATTCAAAATAAATTTGTTTTATGGATATTTATATTCCACTGTGTGTGAGTAAATTTCCATCTTAATAAATTCCCAAAAGAATGTATGCCTGCAATGTAATTTTAAATTTAAAATTACATTAAAATGCATTACATCTTTTTAATAATCAGACTAAAAAAAATAAAAATTACAATATGAAGTGTACAGATTATATCAAAGATTCAACTGAATTCATTTTGCTAAGTTTTCCTGGACATCACAGAACCATTAATGTAATATTGTAACTGGTGAAATATTTTATTGCGTATCTTCAGCTTGAGTTTCCAATTTTCTGGCTACTGCTGGTACAAGTCTTAGTTATCTTTAGGACCATGAGTCTTAAAGATTCTGACAGTCTTTAAGAAGGACCTGGAGACTTAGTTCTTCACTCAGGAATTTGGCCAGGAAGTCAGATATACTTGACTATACAATATGAGTTGTGTGGTGCAGTATGTTTTTACTTTATTATGTGTTCTTATTTTTATCATTTCCCATGTATTTAATGTTTTGAATACAGTATTTTTTATTTGCTATACAGGCATATTTGGCGAATGAGTGATATACATTTATTTAAAAAATATGTGTGCATATATATAAATAAAGAAACATGCATATATAAAAGCAAATCATTCAGAAAGAACATTTATGGGAAGAAAAGCAATCGAGAGAAGCTTTCCTGGAACAGAAAGGTAGAGAGGCACAGCAGCAGAATTGGGTAGATGTAGCAGTCTCTAGTCCGGTCAGAATACTTTTCATGATGTTGCCAAACTGGACAATATTTAGCAGGATTTTTTTCAGATGCTTAGAATCAAGTCAGCATGAGCATATGATAAGAATAGTTTAAGTCTTAAATCTGGATATCATCAAATGAAGATATTTATTGAAATCTGCATTTAAATTAGACTTGTAAACATTTTGCCCCAAGATATATCTATACTCTAATATAAACCTATTATTAGTTTTATACCCATCAAGTGTTGAACATTGGAATGCATCTAGAAAAAGGGTGGAGCTTCAACAGCAATACTCTTGATATCACTCTGATCACTTCTTGCCATCCCAAAGGACACCACTGATATTAGTTTAACTTCACTACAATAGAATCCTGGAGTTGCATTTTGTGTGTGAAGATGTGAAGTTAATTTGCCTCCTTGTGGTGCACCATGGATAGTGCGACAGTGTGAACTAAATAAACTAGCAACTGTGGGCAGCCAACTACTCTGTAGGTTTTCCTGGCTCTCAAAATACATGGCAACAAAAACAAAAAATGGACCTTTTCAGGCCCAAATGATAAAAGAGATTGGTAATATTATTTGAATTTGTCAAATCAATGTCAAGGGGCTCAGCAGATCCAAGAACCAATATGTTTCTGAAGTTTTATTGGACAATAACATAGACATGGCCATCCTCCAAGAAGCACACATAGAAAACAAAAGAACAGTAACCCAGAAGAGGTGAGATTCATGGCTACAACCTGTTGAGAGCCACCTGCCACCATGGCTATGGTGTTACTACATATGTTAGAAGGAATGTAGAGAATGCCTCCCTGTTGTCAGCCTCTACAAACAACAATATACACTAAGTAGTTTCCAAACTAGGCAATCTAATAATAGTGAACATCTATAAACCACCTCTGATAGCATCAAGCTGCACCCAACAACCCATGCAGGTGACTTCAATAGCCATCACATTAATATTTTTCCACTGATGACAATGGCGAACAATTGTCCATCTGAGTTGCAGCAAACAAAGTCCAATGATTTTCAACATGTTTAAATCAGTGGCATGGAACTGCAAATCCAGACATATGCATAATCACAGAAGGCCCAAACTCTCAGCCAGTCTCCATAAACAGGAAAGTAATGGATATATTCCTGCACAGCCAACATCATCCTATCTTGGTTGAAGTTGGAATCTAATTTCCCCTAATTTGCTCTATCCCTAGATCCAGATGGAACTTTCAAAACCCAACTGGCCCAAATTTGCTGAAAAGCTTGATAAAATTATAGAGTGGATTATAGAGTGGATTCCACCAAGTAGTCAACACTATCATAGGTTCATGAAGGCAATAATTGCCTCAGTGAAACAAGCATACATCCAGAATGGAATGAAGAGATTGAAGGACTCTACCAGACCTTCTTACAGAATAGTGATCCAGAGATCAATGACGATCTCTTACACAGTTTGGGTGCAGCTCAACATAGGAAGTGAGAACAATAAAGAGAATCACTAAATTTCAGCAAATCCAGCAGGACCTTATTAAGGAAATTGGGTGGAGCTAGACAACCCACATGACAAACACCCAATGTAACTCCTGACCAAATAGTCGCTCAAGTTGTATCTCTCTCCAAAACTCCAAAGGACATTCCGCTCTCATTAAGAATGCTTTCAGCTTTTCAGCAAAAAGGCTGAATACATTCTGATACCCTTGTCCCTTCTCTGTAAAGGAAATTGATGCTGCCATTGGTAGTCTGAAATGTGGTAAAGCACCAAGCTTTGATGGCATTCATCCAGAATTCCTGATAAACTTGGGAGACACAAACGGAATTGGATTGGTAAATTCCTCTCAGATATAGTTTCCAATGGCTGCCTCCCACCAGAATTCAAAAAAGCTAAAATAATATCACTTCTAGAACTTGACAAACCAGAAGACAGAGTGGAAAGCTACCACCCAATCACCCTTTTGGTGCTGCTACAAACTCCTAGAAAGATTAATTATAAACAGGATAGGTCTCATAATAGATGAACATCTGCCTGTGGAACAAGCCAGCTTCTGATATGACCAGAGTTGTGTAGATAAAGTGCTAAGCCAACAGGCTTTATTGAAGCAGTATTCCAATGATGTTCTTTCACTTTAACAACAAACTAGCATATGAAGCCCTGAATGTCTATTTAAACAACTTACTCCCCTGTGAGTCCCATCCAAGGTACCTTGGAGTAACATTGGACTGACTCTCTCCTGCAAGAAATACCTAGAGAATTTGGTGGCAAAAATCAATATTAGGAGCAACATATTCTAGAAATTTTGTGAAACTAAATGGGGAACTTCAACTGCCACCCTCAGGTCATTAGCACTAGGGTTGGTCTACTCCACAACAGAATATTGTGCCCCTGTATGGCTTAACATACTAGTAACTTATACACCAGACTCAACAACACCATGAGAATTATAAGCAGATGAACTAAAACCATTCCAACTTGCTGGCTTCCTGTCCTGAGCCATATAGCACCATCAGCTTTAAAGCAAGATGCACCAGTGATGGAATACAGAAAAATTATGAACAACTCACTCCTAATGGTGGATGCCTACCTTTCTCATTTAACAGCAGAAGACTCATCCAGGACCACCACCACCCGGCACTTGCACAACATCTGCCTAATAACTTTAACATTGATTGCCAATGGAAAGCTAAAAGGGTTACTGAATGCCCAGACATAGGAAAACATATAAATGACCCCACAAAAAAAGGTGCCAGGCTTTGAACTACCACATCAGCAATGGGCAATCCTGAATAGGATTCATACCTCACATGGCATCAGCCAGAACTCTTTGTATAAATGGGATATAGTATCCTCCCCTCAGTGTGACTGAGGGGTTCCACATCAAACTATAGATCACATTGTGACTGGCTGTAAACTGAGGGCATATACTAACCCAGTATCTGTTTTTTTTTTAATATAAATGATGCTGTGCTTCAATGGTTAGGTGGCCTAAACATTGAACATAGATCTTTTTAACATTTATATTTTATTGTGTTTTACTAATCTAGGTGAAATGTTAATATATATTGCTAGTCCACATATGATATGCAATATGCTAAATAAATAAATCTAGTGATTTTCTAAAGAAAATGACTGCAAATTCGTTTTCTGATATCATAGAATCACAGGGCTGGAAAGAACCTTGGAGATCTTCTAATCCAAGCCCCTGCCCAAGGCTGGAGACCTTACACCATTGTCCACTCTTTTTTTTCTTTTCTTTTTTTTAAACAAATTTTATTGGTTTTTTTTTATTTTTACATCAAGGTGCTTAGGAAACAACGTGGTGATGGGGACATCAATCATCCAAAAGCAAAATCATACATATATAACTCAGGTTACTTCATTAAAAGTTCCCTTTCTATTTCCCTCATATAATATTACATATTCAAATTAATACATTTCTAAATAGAGTTCAATCAATCAAATCAGTCATCAATTACATTTCAGTTATAAAGATCCAAATCCTGTTTTTAAGCTTTACTAATTTACAATTACCATATTCCAATTAGCCTTGAATAAACATTTTATTAACACTTCGGGTATCCCTAACATAATAATTATATCTAAAATGAATATATTATTCCAACAATAACATTCCTATATTTTCCACATAGAACCTATTTCTTAATCTAATGAATCATTTATTGATACCATTTCTTCTTTTATCACAAATCCCTCTTATTCTCCTTCTATTACAAAATAATTGTCTTACTTAAAATAAAATAAGATATTAAATAATAGATTTAATATCTATTAAATATATATTCTATCAATCAATCTATATCTATAAAAAGTCTTTTTAACCCATTAGGTAAAGTTTACCCCTCCAAATAATTATCATATCTAAAACAAAATATTATTACAAAGGATATCCTCTTACAGAATTCATGTACTCCATTAGTTATTAAATCAGTTAAGATCTCAAGCCTTTTTAACCCATTAAATGAAGTTTTGAATCACATTTTTAAATCTAACTCTAGCTTTCTTTCTGTGCCAAATCAGTTTCCATAGTAAAGCTTCTGCATCATCAAACCTCAATATTTGAATAGAGGTATTTCTCGACACTTCAGACTGGTCAAAGTTCTCTTCCCTTTCTTCCAGTGTCAACTGAATGATGTAATCAGTTTTATTCCATGTTGTAATTATTAGTTGATTGTCCAGGTTATCACAATTTTCAGTAACTTGTGTCTGGATGTCAATCTCTGTTATTTTTGACATTTCAGGTATCTCAATTAAAGTTATTCTTTGATCATCAAAATCCTCCATAAATTGTATATGGGGTTGTGTAAAGTTAATTTGCTCAGTAATTCCCACAATTTCTCCCGGTATAAGTTCATAGTTGAGTTGTCGATATGGATCCTTCATCTGTTTACATTGTATATATTGTTGGGTAGAAGCCTCTTTGGGGTTACTCTGTTTCTCCTCTATTGTTTCTTGGCTTGTAGCTTGATCCATTAAAATTTGAGAATCAATTTGTGATTCTGAAGTGTCATCTTTAATTTTTCTCCAAGATTTCATATACTCCGTAGCTTCCAAATTTTTTTCCAATGTAAGTTCATAATCAAGCTGTGGGTAAGATTCCTCCATTTCAGTGGTGAAAAAAAATCTATAGTAAAAAATATTTAGTAAGAGTTAACAAATATCCACTTCCAATTTCTAATAGACAAATTCACCACCCAGCTGTTTCAAATCCTTTATCTTTCCCCTTTTATTATCATTTGAAGGTAAAATCCATCTTCAAACAGCAAAAGAAGATGCAGTTGCAATAACAGTTTTCACCACAAGATGTCCTCAGTAGACTATAAAATCTTTTTTCCAGGTTAATAAAAGTTTATCTCATTAGAAAAATAGAAAAACAAAACAAAAACAGATATCTCCAACATAATAAGTAGAATAATAATAATGTTCAATGGTAAAAAAAATTCAGGATCCCTAAGTATCCAAAAAATTAAATAGTCAATAAAAAATTAGCTGTTTTATTTTTTTAATTTCCAGAGCTCTTTTTCCCAAATACACAAATGCCGCTCTCTTAAAGCAGGGAAGTAGTTCAAAAGCTTTTTCCAGGAGAGTAGGTGCAGCTGGGTGATCGGCCATTTTACTGGCCGATCTTTTCTCTGTCAGCCCTAAGGAGCTGGCTTGGACCGCGGAAGGAGCTGCCGCCCTTCTGCAGTCGACAAGGGCCTCCTCGACGGTGGTTGCCCCTCCAGGGTGACTTTTCAACCCGATTAAGGGTCTACCGGCAGAGGGAAAACAGCCAGCAAAGAGACGAGGCTCTCTGCACAACTGTGTATGCTGCGATCCGGAACCGGAAGTCAATAGTTGTCCATTCTTGAAAGCCTCCAGCAATGAAACTGGAGTAGATTACAGAAATTCCTATTGACAATGGAAATAAGACTACAGTAAACAAAGCAACACTCTGTTTAAAATGCATTTGGGAAATATAGTTCTGTGAGGTTAGGAATTAAACCCAGGCAGTAAAAAGCCTAAATGTGCAGATGCAATATACTACTGAATGCCAGTTACTTGGAAAATTGAAAGTAACTATAAAAGAGAGTTCTATGCAAAGCTGTTTTTGCTTTCCATCAGGGCGGTCTTTGTCATAGCAATAATGCTGAATTAGATGGGGACTTGGCCTGGTTGATAGTACTGTAAACTAATCTGCCTTTACATTATGTTACCAAAATCAAACTTTCTCCTCTTGCTAAGACATCTAATAGAAGTGAAATATTGGGAAATAGCTTACATGATTTAGGATTATCTTACCTAGACAGCATCATATATTTCAGTACTTTACAAATAATATAATAATTTATTTTAAGCCATAAAATAGTTAACTTTGAATGTATTTTAATTTCTAACCCCTTTTAATAAGTAAATATGCTGAAAAACTACAAAGTAATCCAAATAGCAAAGATTGGCTGAGCTGTCTGTATTTTCTTAGAAGAGTATCTGCGAATTCCTGCTGAAATTCCAGGCCTTGCACTGATGGAGCTAGCAATGGATATTGATCTCCCCTTGAATTCAGTGAATAAATAATGGTTGCCATAGATATTGAGCATCCACAACCATAGGGAAGCTAAGAAATCTCCAAAACATATTCTGTGAAAGCTCAGGCCTCAAATCCTGGGAAAAAATAATTTCAGTGAAATGTAAGGGTGTAGCATTTAGAATGCTGTGCTCATATAACTGTTTTAGTAACTGACTGGAAAATAAAGTATTATGATTGAGTGTAACTATAAGATTGGAATCAGCTAGCATTGTACTTTTCACTGAATTGAGAAGTTATAGTGCATAACTTCTATTCGCATTCACATACTGGATTACAGAATGGTTACATTAGTACTTCTTTTTTATAATTAATCACTAACACACCCATTCCCATAAAGTGGATATTGAATTCTTTGTTATTGCTTTGCAGACCGTCATGGATTAAAAGAACCAAAGAAAGTGCATGATCTATGCAACAAAATCTTAGGCAGCTTGAAAGATCATTTGGCCTTCAACTGTCCGAGCAAAAGACAACACATTGAGTCTGCAGAATCTAAAGTTCTTGGTGTTCTCGCTGACTTGCGTGCCGTCTGCACACTAGGACTGCAGCGGATCTTTTACCTGAAATTGGAAGATTTAGTGCCACCTCCTTCCATTATTGACAAACTATTTTTTGATACCTTACCATTCTGAAAGTAGAGTTTCCCTTGTGAAAGGCAGCTACTTACCAGAGCAGGTAAAAATATCGGAATTGACTTATAACAATGCTGCTTTTGTTAAATGAGGTAAGAAGTAATTCCAGCCCTAATCATATATATGGACTTTTCCCAATATATGTCTTTGCAAACTGAGGTTTAAGATATAATTTACAGTTTTGGAGATGGGAATTATAGAATAGAAAGATTAAATGCAGATGTGTTTTTTTAATGGCACCTTTTAATGATGCTACTCCAGCTAGAAAAAGATGTTAATATTAACTGTATAAAAGCTATTTCCATAGCATCTGTTCTTATGTGATGGGTAGAAAATTGTGACAGCTCAGGCCTCAAATCCTGGGGGGAAAAAATCAGTGAAATGTAAGGGTATGCACCATTTAAAATGCTGTGTCACTGCAATGTGTTTGAAAACAAGACTAATAACAAATAACTGGTTTCAACAGCATATATTTTATTAATTTATATCTTTAACATACTCATATCAGACTTCATTCTCTTCACATAAATTATTTTTTCTCTCTCTCTTTTTCCCTTAATAAAGTTCATCCATGATTTCATAAATAAAATATAGGAAAATGATAATGGCTGTTAGCTCCCATGTTCAAGTGCAATTTTAAGGTGCTATCTTTGCTAAGTCTTGTTTATGTGCTATACTTTAATTTAATCCAAAAGAGAGGTGAAAGAAATAAAATGGGAAAAACAGGCTTTATTACATGCACTAATTTCTATGACAAAATTCTTCAGACATATGTTGACAGCAAGGCATTAAGCAAAAATCATATGCTTATTCCTTGGCTGATTAAGTAAATAGCAATGCAGAACATCTGAAGTAGGCAGGATTAACATGGACATGGTAAGGCTAGAACTGAGCTTAGTGAATTAGTTAGTAATAGATTCAAGACAATTTGAATGCAATTTTTTTTGTAGAAATAGTCTGAATGTAAATGCTATGAATGGTTTATTGAGCTGCATTTTAAACATTCCGTGTATGTACTTTCCTTTTTTATATGGTTATAATGGTTAATGGTTTATATGGTTAATGCCATGTTAATATGAAATAATTTGTTGCACAGTGTCTTTATTTGTATAAATATTTGTATGCATGACATATTGTAAAGGCTTGCCTCTATTTATTGCAATGACTGCCAGCTCATGAGAGCCTGTTACAAGGAAGATGAAATAGTGTACTCACAGCAAGTCAATTATATAATGGGTTTGGGTAGTCTCATACACATATACACACCTATGTGTCCTTTCTGTTAACCAATTAAATATGTAGTATGTCTTTCACAAGTAAAACCTGATCTTACCATGTATTTGCAGTGACCTTTAAGGCAGTAAAATTTAGCACTTTGATATTTAAATATTTGTTCATGTTTCATTAATTTTAATATTTAAACATTTTTATTCTTTCAACAAAAAAGGATTTATATGCACTGTATCTTTAGTCATTTTGCTACAGAAAAAGATCACTTATTGAATGTTGCTCTGATATCCCTGTATTTAAAAAGTCTACAATAATTTTGTCTTTTTTTAACTATGCTGTTTATATGGAAATTAAATTATACACTCAGATATCAAAACAACTGCCTAGTACAGTGATGGCGAATCTTTTAGAGACCAAGTGCCCAAATTGCAACCCAAAACCCACTTATGTATCATTGGGTGCCGGGTGGGCATGGCCCATTAGGTGGGCTTTGCCCGTTGGGTGGGTGTGGCCCATTGGGTGGGCATGGCTGCGGTGGTAACGGCAGACTGGGTGGGACTAAAAAGTTCAATCAATTAATTCCAATTTTGCGAGATCTTTTTTTCCCCCACGAGAAGTTGAAATTGATTGATTGATTGAACCTTCTTTTTTTGCACACGGCGGCGGAGGCCTAAAGCAAAAATGCTTTATAAAACCCAGCTGATTAATTTAATTAATTAATTAATTAAAATTGAAAAAGGTACAAGGCAAGGCTGTCCATTATCACCGTTACTGTTTATCCTGACTTTGGAGATTTTATTAATCAAGATTCGAGAGTCTTCACTTATAAAAGGAATAGCTTTGGGTAACAATGACTATAAGCTTAGAGCTTTTGCTGACAATTTGGTTTTTACTTTGTCGGAACCAACTGACTCAGCAAGAAATTTGATACAGATATTGACACATTATGGGAAGGTGTCTGGATTTAAGGTAAATAATAATAAGACTAAAATATTATCTAAAAATATGTTTATGAAAGATATAGAAATCTTAAGTAATGTAACTGGTTTTGAAATAGTGAAAAAAGTGAAATATTTGGGTGTTGATATTACTGCTTCTAATGCTAAACTGTATAAAAATAATTATGATAAGTTATGGAGAAAAGTTCAAAAGGACTTGATGGAGTGGAAGAAATTACAGTTATCATTATTGGGAAGAATTGCAGTGATAAAAATGAATGTTCTCCCAAAGTTTTTTTTCTTGTTCCAGATGATACCTATTTTAAAAAAGGATTCAAATTTGGAGGAGTGGCAAAGAGGCATCAATAGGTTTATATGGCAGGGGAAAAAACCTAGGGTAAAATTTAAAATTCTGCAAGATGCACGGGAAAGAGGGGGACTTAAAGCCCCTAATTTAAAATGAAGCAGTGGTTTTAACCTGGATTAGTGATTGGATCAATTTAACTAATAGAGATATTTTGATACTTGAAGGTTGGGATTTATATTATGGATGGCATGCTTACTTATTTTTTGATAAGAAAATTGATTGGGTTTTTAAATCTCACATTTTAAGGGTTGCACTTTTGAGAGTTTGGAAAAAGTATTTTTATAAGGTAAATTTAAAAATTTCAATGTGGGCTATTCCGGAACATGCAATACAAGGAATTATAAGAGGTGTAAAATTAGAAGGAATTGTTTATAAAGATCTACTTATGTTAAGAGGACAGGACTGGCAAATTAAATCATTGGAAGAGTTAAGACAGGATAATGTTCTCCAGTCCTGGTTTTTATATTTCCAATTGGTTGAGAGATGGCATATAGATCAAAAATTGGGTTTAATGGTAGAAGATGTGAACTTGATAAAACAGATTAAAGATCAAAGTAGAGCCCATATTAGGAGAATATATAGTGTTTTGATAGAACTTGATTCGGAAACAGAATTGGTTAAAGATTGTATGATTAAATGGGCTCAAAATATTCAAGAACCAATAAAGTTAGAAACTTGGGAAATAATTTGGGTAAGAAATGTCAAGTTCACCCAAGCACAGAATCTAAGGGAAAATTTTTATAAAATGTTTTACAGATGGCATTTGGATCCTCAAAAATTGTCTTGCATGTATCCGAATTTGCAACCAAAATGTTGGAGATGTGGCAGTATGGACGCTACTTATTATCATATTTGGTGGACATGTAGGGATGTTAAAGCCTTTTGGATTAAGATTTGGTGGAATATTCAACAGATTTTTAAGAAAAAGATAAAATTTACACCGCAGTTATTTTTATTGGGTATTATGGACAATTTGGACCAAAAAGAAATGAAATTGATGCTGTACTGTATAACAGCAGCAAGGACCTTAGTTGCTCAAAATTGGAAAAAAAAGATGTTACCAACTATGGATGATTGGAGACAGAAAGTATCGTATTTTGCAGAGATGGCAAAAATATCCGCATACCTGAAGGATCATTCTCAGGAGAAATTTATCTCAATGTGGAGAAGATGGATAGATTATATTCAGAGAAAGTATGAATTGAAAAATTATCATGTAGCTTTTGATTAAAAATTAAAAATGGTAAACAAAAATATGTATATCAAATATTGATATATTTAAAAAATCTTTGTATGTATTTTAATGTTATTTTAGAGTCACAGTAAGTTTATACTAGTGTGTAGTAATAATGAGTAGTTTTGAATAGAATTGGATTTATTTCCTAGATTAGCTTTGGGAAGTCCTGGGGGGGGAGGGGGGAAAGGGGTAGGTTTGTATTATAGATTTATATGTATGATTTTTTAAGGAGGTGTCCGGTGGTGCCCCAACTGCACAAGACGGGATGGTTGAGTGAGGAAGGGAGGTAGGAAAGAGGGAGGAAGGAGGAGTGGTGGTAGGTTGGGAGGAGGAAGGTGTGGTAAGTGGAAGAGGGCGGTGCAGGGGGGGACACCGGACACGTCCGTGAATGTATTGATTAGTGTTATTTTCTTTGGTTGATATTGTGATAAAAGATCTATGTTTTTGTTTTTAATTGAAAAATTAATAAAAAATTTATTAAAAAAAAAAACCCAGCTGAAGGCCTAGGACTGGGGCGACAGCGTGTGCCAACAGAGAGGGCTCTGCATGCCTCCTGTGGCACACGTGCCATAGGTTCGCCACCACAGGCCTAGTAGCTGCAGCTAGCATGAACTAGATATCAAGATATTGTCTGGTTCTCTAAAAGTTGCCTGATATTTTCTCATTAAATTTGTTTCAAACTGTTCCTTTGAGGAAATGTTATTCTTTTATCCAGATAATAATGTCAGTAACAAAAATAGCTTCTAAACATTATACTGTAGCTAGTATTTTTAATTTACCTCCAGTTATTTAAAAAATATTGCTTTTTTGTATTGACGTATGATTTATGTGAAAACACAGTAGCAGAATTAAACATCAGAAGACCCTGATTTTTCTTGTAGGTTGATCATACTTGCCTAACCCTCAAGGCATTTTTAATATATTTGAATTTTTGTACATATTATGTACATCACCTCACTAGATTTTAAAAGGCATATACATTTTCTTGCCAATTATGCAGAAGGTGTAATCCTTATCCTCCTAGAATTAATAGGCATTTTTGACATACAATATGTTCATGTTTCATTCTTATTCTTGTAGAATGCCATCATCTACTGCAGGATGAAGGTTCATAGATTATCACAAAGTTGAGTTTTCAAACAAAAGTATCTTGTTGTTTCAAAATGTTTTCTCTACATTCTCTTTATACAAAAGAAGTTTTTTAAAATTCTGTTTTGTAGTTGCACAA